CAGGTGCTGGTTCCTCTCGGTGCGAATTAGCTGACGTTGGAAGCGCTGTAGGGCTGCGGATTTTTTTTTTTCCCCTCCCCAAAATGCTTCCCTTAAAGTTAGGATTGTGAGGGCTCTCTGTAGCAGAACGATAGCCTTCCCGAGCGTGGGGTTTTTTTGTTGTGCCGTAGAGCGTTGCCTCCCAGCTCCCGCTGTCAGTGCAGTGAATCATCCTGTGACTGATAACTCGGAGGATTAACGGACGATGTGGATTAATTCCTGCAGTAACGACAGGTTTCTCCCCTCTCTCTCGCTCTTTAGGTCTGTGGGCATGCACAGCCGAGTGCAAGATCCTGGGCCACTCAGACCGCTGCTGGAGCCCCTCCTGCGGCCGAGCCACCCCTCACCCCCCTCCCCATCCTTCTGCACCCCTTTCCACCTTCTGCAAGAGCACGTCCTTGCCCAGGGATCCCCTCCGCAGGGACAACTTTTACCAAGCCCAGCTGCCCAAGACGGTGGGCCTGCAGAGCGTCTACGAGAAAGTGCTGCACAGGGACTTTGACCGGACGATCACGCTGCTCTCCCCGCCGCGCCCCGCGCGGCTCCCCAACCTCCAGGAGATCGGGGTGCCTCTCTACCCAGCCCCCTCGACTAGGTACCTGGGTCCCCAGACTGACACGGCTGACAAAGTGTAGCCCAGCACACCCCCCGCCCGAGTACACACGTCCCCGCGCGCACGCGACTAGGTCACTCCCGAGAGCCTTTAAGTTATTGACCAGATCCGGTGTCGTACCTGTAAATAAGCAAGATGTGCCTTAAAAATGAAGTCGTTGGGAAAGATTTCCAATCACGTCAGTACTGTTTGATATTTGCAAACAAAAGAAAAAAATTGTTTGTAGGTAATGTAATTTTTATGAAATGTGCAGTATTTAAATTTTTTTTTTCATGTTTTCTACATTGGGGTTTTTTTTTTTGCTTTTGGTTTACCCATGGCCTGCCATTTTTTGTAGTGTTTTTAACCTGTATATTGTGTAATGTAATGTTTGTACATAATGAAAATTGGTTATATTTTTATATAATAAAATCTTAAAAAATGGGAATTCTTGCCAAAGGAACTGTCTGAAAGACACAATAATAATGATTAATAATAATATGTATGTAGAACCTTGTAAGGGAAATTCCTCTTTCACGGTGTAATAATAACGTAAGCAACCCAGTGTACGGAGAAGTTTGCCTTGCCAAATGTGAGTTGTATTTCTTGAGCCTGTGGTCAACTTAAATGTTATTTAATTGCCTTTGATTCCTGTAATCTGTGTCACTGGTAATCACTAATAAAGGTTTTGTGATGTGTCGGAGGGATCTGTTCATGGATTTCATGCTTCGGAGCGTAGAGGTCTCTACAGGTCACGAGAAGTATTTTGTGCAGGGAAATGCAGTGGGGAGGAGCGTGAACCATCCTACTTGTGTGTCGCCTATCCTTCATCTCTGCAGTACCTCACTGGAGGTTTAGGGGAGGGCTGCGTGACGGAGCTGGCCTTTGCTTTTCACTACCTGGTCTGAGCTCTGCCAGCCCCCCCCCGTGACCGGTGGCAAGCGGTGTCACTTTAGCGAAGCAGAGAAAGCTGTGTCCATCAGCTGAAGTGCTCGCGCTGTGCAAACACCTTCGCATCAGCAGCTCCTCAAGCGCTTGGCTTTGGGATCCGGCTGAGGGGTTGATTTGAGCCAAGCTGCATAGGTGTGCGCTCATACCTTCACCCCTCACCACGGCAGCCTCGCTCAAGGACGGTAACTCGCACTGTTGTACGTATATTTTCTTCACCAAAAGAAAGTATAGGTTTATATTTGTGCCTCAAAAGGAGAAAGAATAGCTGTTGAGTTTGTCGGTGCTGCATATTTTGCCACCTCCTAGAAATGACAAAGGCCTGAAAAAAAAATCATATAGAGCTTTGAAATTCCCTCCCCTCGAGGTTTCGATTTAAAAGCAGCTCTCACATCCCTCTTCTGAAATCAGGTATAGCGTAGCACTGAATGAAACAAACTAAGCATGAGCATTTCTTCCTGTGCTCGGAGCAACGTTTGTAACAGAGATAACACGCCGGAGTTTTAACATTGGACTGAACTTTTTCAAAAGGAAAAACTGCTGCTGGCTTGGTGTATACAATTTTGCATTTTGTACGAATCAAGAATCCAGAAATTTGCACGTGAAAAAGTTTTTGGTTTTTATTGTGAATTCTTAAATGTTATGCCTAATTACTACGGTACATATGTATAGAAGATAACTCACAAAGAAAATATAAAGCCTTTTTAGACATAAACAAGGCCCTGTTAGACTTCGTGTCTCAAAATGTAAGCAGAAAACAGTATCCCACCTGCATGTCCCTTAACCGACAGAAATTCCCTTTCTCCCCCGGCTTCCAGCCTTCTCAAGCGCACGTAGCAAGAGTGGCAGAGCTTGACCAAGTTCTCATGCACACAGGGGCTGAGTTTTAACAGGAGCTTCATAAAAGCTCCTGCATGAAGATTTGTGGTGGGCAGAAAGCTTCAGAGGCTGTACCCAAATGGAATTGAGGTCAGGCTGGTGCAAGACCCAGCTGGGAAGCAAAGTCTGTGATGATAGAGCTTTTATGGTCAGGAAAATAGGTAGAGAGTCTCTGGCGCTGCATCTAAACCTGGTGGTAGACATCATGATGCATCTAACGAACTAAAAGAGGGTGGGCTTGGTTAAATTTAGAGCTCAAGCTGGGGCTGAAGGGTGGATGCTGAGAAGGAAGGCTGGGAGCCTCCCTGCCGGGTCATCATCAGTGCTGCAGAGCGGCAAACCCGCATATGAAGTAATTACTCACAATTCTGAACGCAGGGAGGGAAAGACTCTCCGTCAAAAAAGGAAGGCAGTCTGATAAGCTGGTTCTTCCTCATCGAGTTCAAATCCCTGGATTACATACTGCAAGACCTCCACAGAAGGTCCCTGGGCTCTCCTGGGGGAGGCTGGTGAGAGGTAACCACAGCCGAGGGACAGTTCTTCACGTTGGGTTGAGGTGCCGAATTCGCGCTGTTGCCTGCAACAGAGCCCGTGCACTTCTGCAGGTGGGTCAGTACTCCTCGCTGCCTAGCCAGGAGTTCAGGCCACCCCAGTGTGAGGCAGTCTTGAAATGGGGGGAAGATAAAGTCGCCTGTTCCAATTCTCAGAGCAGCTTTCAGCAGCAAGCATCTACAGTCTCGTTGGGGTCTGGGATCTGTCGGGTCTGGGGTCCTGCGTGCTGCCAGTAAAATGTGGGATTCATCCACTCAGCATTTAAGTCTGAGCCAGTCACTTGGCAGGGACTCTCTGGTTAATGGAAATCTATGGACCTCCTCTGAGAGCTTCTTGCCTTGGCTTGGAGACAGGCAATGGTGACAGCTCAGGTGCATCACTGAAGCTTCTGGTCTCCCCTTTGCCTATAAGGGCAAGGGGCAGCAGCCCAGACTCCTTTAACTTTTAGATGCCCAAAATTAGGTGAGGGAAATCCACAAGCTCCATCAGATAAGAGCACCCATCATCCCAACTGCAGATGAGTAGAAAGGGGAGGCTTAGCTCCTGGGCAGAGCCCCCTGAATCAAACGTTTGCGCTGTCAATGCTGTTTATCTGTGTGTGTCTTAGTTTTTTTCTTTTTGCTTAACATAACTGAGACTTTGGCTAACATGCTTCAGAAATTAATGCAGACCTGTCAATTAAATTCCATTTATTTGCCAAGCGTGGTGTGGCATCAGCCCTGTGTCATGTGCTGTGGACGAGACAGTGCGGCCACGCAACCTCTCCATCGTGGAGAGCTGGCCTCTCCCGCCTGCCTTTCCCTGGCTGAGGCGGCCGAGGTGAGGAGGCGGAGCAGGGACACAGGGCTGGAGGCAGCACTCTTTCACTGAGCCAGCATTCATTCCACAGCTCAAACTGGCTACAGCAGCTGGAGATCACAAAAGCCCAAACGCCCAGCTTCAGCTTACGCCTGCAGCAGTCTCTGGTAGTCACCTGTGATGGAGCAAAGCACTCTTGGCTCCCTTCAGGGCCAGTGGAGAGAAACAGGCACTTTTAGGGCATGAATCATCTCCTGAACCAGCCAGCTAGCTAAAATACGTCTGGTGTACTGCACTCAGAAGTTCCCCATCCCTCCCTACACACAGCCTGTAACAGCTGTAGACGTTTGAGTTGTGAACATGCAACACTTCGTGAAATAAATCTCATCCCACATGCTTTCAAACACTGCCAGGTAGTTTACTGTTAGCAATCGCCACGAGACAACCTGACTTAGCGTACTGACAGTGTGGCAAAATGAGGGAACTGTAGCCAAAATGGGCTAGATGAAGGTGAAGATACCTAGTAGCATCAAGCCAGGCCACTGGAGGCCAGCAGACTCACAACCAGGGGCCAGTGTCCAATTTCTTCAGCATCAAGGGAGAGGACTAACACACAGAAGTGGGTAATTCCCACAGCCTCTTTTCCAGGTGTACCTGTGCAGCCAGGAAGATGTAGACCCTCACTACGAGGAGATTGAGGTGCTGGAGTACATCCAGAGAAGGGCAATGAGGCTGGTGAGGGGTCTAGGGAACAAGTCTTACGAGGAGCAGCTGAGGGAGCTGGGGCTGTTAACTCTGGAGAAGAGCAGGCTGAGGGGGGAGCATATTGCTCTCTACAACTACCTGAAAGGAGGTTGTAGGGAGGCGGGTGTTGTTCTCTTCTCCCAACTCACTAGCGATAGGACGAGAGGCAATGGCCTCAAGTTGCATTAAAGAAGGTTTAGATTGGATATTAGGAAAAATTTCTTTACTGAAAGAGTTGTGAAGCATTGGAACAGGCTGCCCAGGGAAGTGGTGGAGTCCCCATCCCTGGAGGTTTTCAAAAAACGTGTAGATGTGGCACTTCAGGACACGGTTTAGCAGGCATGGTGGTGTTGGGTTGACAGTTGGACTTGATGATGTTTGAGGTCTTTTCCAACCTTAACGATTCTGCGATGATTCTGTGTAGCTGCAATACCCAGGACACACAGCAGTGATGCCACAGCAGTACAGCCACAAAATGCCTTGTCTTCTGAGTGCCCTGGAGATGTTCTGGGACTGTGGGCTTGCTACTACCACCCTGGAGACCTTGGGCAGATATCCAAATCTGCTTTAATAGTAAATAAATTAAATTCATTTTCCCGAAGTCGGATCTGTCTTGCCTGTGACAGTAATTGGTAATTGGTAAGTGATCTCTCTATTTTTATCTTGACCCATGAGCTTTTTCATCCAATTTTCTCCCCCTGTTCCGTTGAGGAGGGGGAGTGAGTGAGCGGCTGGGTGGGGGTCTGGCTGCTGGCCAAGGTCAACCCACCAAACACAAGGAGACAAGATCGCAGAGATGTCTTCTGTGGCACTTTAGCCAAAAAAATAAAGTCAAATTCCCACTGACCTTCTCTTGTCCCTTGCGCCTCTTGAATGCCTTCAAGGCTGTTTTATGTTTAATGGTGTGAGATGGGGACAAACACCACCATGAAGTGCCTAATTCTGGATTCTGCAGATGCAGAACTCCTAGTAAAATGGGACGGTAGCACTCATGCTGTCAGTCGATATGGCTGTGACCTCAGGGACGAGGGTTTAATCCTGTGATCTCAACATGTGTGAGAGATGCTCAGAAATGCTGCCTGGACCAAGCCTTGAAGGCAGAAACACATCAAAATGGGATTC